GAGATGGCTGTGTTTGCCGGCTTGGTGCGACTGTGTCCGTGGTGTGTCTGTGGTGGGCGTCGTCGGCTTCACTGCATATGCCTGTCCCTCTCTCTGGTCAGGCCATTCGCCTGCCTCAGCCTCCCAAACAAACAAACAAACAAACAAAAAACCAAAGAAAATAAAAAAACCTTCAGAGGCTCTGAACTGCCCAGATGATCAAGTCCAATATTCTTAGCATAAAACCTCTATGTACTGGTCTGTTTCTACTGCTCCAATCTCACATTTTGCCCATTGCCTCTTGTATTCTAATTGTGCTGAACTGCTTTTCTTAGACTTCCTCACCTAACTGCATCACATGCAAATGACCTTGAATGCCATGCTTCTGAGTACCTGACAAGCACCTACCCACCTTCCAAAACTCCACTTAAGGACAACTTCTTTTAAGAAGCCTATCTGGGCCGGGCGTGGTGGCTTACACCTGTAATCCCAGCACTTTGGGAGGCCGAGGCAGGTGGATCACCTGAGGTCGGGAGTTCGAGACCGGCCTGACCAACATGGAGAAACACCCCATCTCTAATAAAAATACAAAATTAGCCAGGCGTGGTGGCACATCCTATAATCCCAGGTACTCGGGAGGCTGAAGCAGGAGAATCACTTGAACCCAGGAGGTGGAGGTTGCGGTGAGCTGAGATCGCACCATTGCACTCCAGCCTAGGCGACAAGAACGAACCTCCGTCTCAAAAAAAAGACTCTATTTTTTATTGTGAGTGTTTCAGTATGGAAATTACTCCACGTCCTTCCTCATTTTAATTAACCTTCTCAGGTCAGGTACTTTTCTTTTTTTTTTGAGACAGAGTCTTGCTCTGTCGCCCAGGCTGAAGTGCAGTGGCTGGATCTCAGCTCACTGCAAGCTCCGCCTCCCGGGTTCACGCCATTCTCCTGCCTCAGCCTCCCGAGTAGCTGGGACTACAGGCGCCCGCCACCTTGCCCGGCTAGTTTTTTGTATTTTTTAGCAGAGACGGGGTTTCCCCGTGTTAGCCGGATGGTCTCGATCTCCCGACCTCGTGATCCGCCGTCTCGGCCTCCCAAAGTGCTGGGATTACAGGCTTGAGCCACCGCACCTGGCCAACCTTCTCAGGTACTTTTCAAGGGTTATTAGGAAGGTTTGGTAGTCTCAATAATTTACATTATTTCTGGAAGTGTTAGAGGGACGTAGTTTAAACTGAACTAGTTCTTTTGGACACCTTTAAGAATATGAGTGTCTTTTTATTGCAATAGCACACTTGGAAACTGTTTCCTGAAGGCCAAAACTTTACTCAAAGTTTGGGTTATTTTCATAATATTTTAGTGGGGAAAGAATGTGCCCCTGGAAAACAGTCAATTTCTGTATCACTCTGCTACCACTCTGAAGACGGGGGTAATTCAGCTGATGGTAAAAGAGTCCATATGGCAGATTTAAAATGGTGGTATATAACCCTTGTTTTTTGTTTTTTGTTTCTTTTGAGATGAAGTCTCACTCTGTCACCCAAGCCACAGTGCAGTGGTGTGAGCTCGGCTCACTGCAACCTCTGCCTCCTGGGTTCAAGCGACTCTCCTGCCTCAACCTCCCAAGTAGCTGGGATAACAGGTGTGCATCACCACACCTGGCTAATTTTTGTTTTCTCAGTAGAGACAGGTTTTTGCCATGTTGGCCAGGCTGGTCTCGAACTCCTGACCTCAGGTGATCTGCCCGCCTTGGCCTCCCAAAATGCTGGAATTATAGGAGTGAGCCACTGCATCTGGCTGCCTTGTAAAGTTATTACTGAGGTCATGAAGGAAAATCCATAATTTCAGGTTTGCATGAGTGCATTTAAACCAACTATAAGGCTTAAATTGAATCACTAACATGTTGCATTGTTATTTTAAGATTTGTCATTGTTATTAGTCAACATCAATTTAACTTATATGGTTCTTAGAGACAAAGATAAAAATATACAGAATATTTATTTACCTTCATGCAATTCTTTCCGCAGTTTCTCAGCATCTTCCTGTAGAACAGATTTCTGAGTATTCAAAACAGCTACATACATCTCTAGATCAGTCCTACAAGATTTCTCAGCTTCCAGATAATGATTCAGTTCTTTAACCTGAAAGAAGATGCAATTCCATTAAACTGAAATTTACAACAGTTTCTATCTTAGATACAAAATGATGGTAAGTTCTGGTTATGCCTTTAAAAAAATTGACACTTTTACATCTACATTTTACATCTACATAAATTACCATTTATAATTTTTAATTATAAAATAATATAGAAAACTGGGAAAATAACGTAATAGATGTCATCCATAATCATACCACCAGAATAAAATATACAATTGAGATTTCACATAAGTTTTGTCCCTTGCTTTTCAAAAAGGTAGTTCCAATTTGTATTCCCACAGCAACATATGCATGTGTCTGTTTTAGCCATAATAGTAACACCAGGTATGTTTTGCTTTTTTAAATTGATAATTTCTAAGGACAAAAATGATACCATACACTTTTAAGTTTGCTTTCCTTTTATTTCTGGTGAGGGAATTCCAAATGTAAATTTATATATTTAATGTATAAAGACATTTTCACAGATATATATACTTATGGAAGTGAAAAAGAGGAAATTATGATGGAACAAATAACTAATCTCACATTGTAATGACTTAAAGGCAAATGCAGAATACTTTTTAAAATCACATCTTGCCCAGGTATGTTGGCTCATGCCTGTAATCCTAGCACTTTGGGAGGCAAAGGTGGGCAGAATGCTTGAGTTCAGGAGTTTGAAACTACCCTGGGAAACATGGAGAAACCCTGTTTCCAAAAAATAATAATAAAACCACATCTTTTAAAAAAAAATGCTTTATTTCTGTTGATCAATTAAGTGTAATACTCAAAATAGTAACAATATAGTCTAATATAGGAAAGTTATAACCAAAAAAAATTTAATTCTTCCCCAGAAATTCAAGGATTATGTCACTTTAACCTGTCACATAAATTGTCCATTCTAAATTCTAACCTTTCAGTTAACTTTCAACTTTTTCGAATGGTTATATCTAATATCACATTCAAAGTCCTTTTCATGCCCTTTATCTTCCTATTTCTTCAAACTTAAAATGGTTTCTCTGTTTTCAGTTATCTTTACTTCTAGGCCATCATGCAATAATAGTCAAAGATTTAAATGACTATGTAAGCAATCATTTGATGCTTCACTGAAGGCTGACGGTCCAGCACGTGATACGAACAAAGAATGGTAAAGTCACAACTATCGTGAAATGCTTTCTCTGACACCTGAAGACGGGGGTAATTCAGCTGATGGTAAAAGAGTCCATATGGCAGATTTAAAATGGTGGTATATAACCCACTAATTCTACCAGTTATTATTTTTGGGGATAAACATTTGGTTTAATTAATAATGAATTTCTAATATTTGAAAACTACTGAGCAGGACTCTGAGTAACTTTGAATTACTTTGAGTTCCATACCCTGTAATGACCAAAACCAAAAACAAATGGACATCTACAAGAAGCCAGGGGACAAGGAGAGGGTGCACACCAACCACTGAAAGTTACCTATTCGGGAAAATGTACGTGGTATTAGGATCTATGCAGGAGAAAGTACAGAGAAGCAACAAGGGCCATAAGAAACCAGAAACAGTCACCTGGGAGTACAATTTGACAACAGTGCCTTGAACGGAAGAGTTTCACATACACCAGTCGTCGGTGAATGCGACAGATTTCTCTGTAGCACTTACAACCCGGTTAGGGTAAAATGGTGTCCCACTTTTACATTTCCCCAATTTCTAGTGTGGTTGAATGTTGAATATCTTTTCACATGCCTTGACTATTCTAATTTTTGTTTTCTCAGTAGAGACAGGTTTTTGCCATGTTGGCCAGGCTGGTCTCGAACTCCTGACCTCAGGTGATCTGCCCGCCTTGGCCTCCCAAAATGCTGGAATTATAGGAGTGAGCCACTGCATCTGGCTGCCTTGTAAAGTTATTACTGAGGTCATGAAGGAAAATCCATA